CTTATAAAAGCTTGTTTTTTTTTTCCTGGAGTAACGGGGTGACATTCTTAAAAGAGCCTGCATGCTCTTTGACAGCTGATGTTAATGTTGAATATTCTCTTTCTGTGTACTTCATGTTAACAACATCTCAGTTCTGTAGCTTAACTTGTGTCCCATTGTTTTCCATCTATAGTTCCTATTCTAGTCTTGATAGTGCTTATAACTTATATTGATACTCGATCTTTTAGAAGCCCTCAGTGAAGAAGGGAGGGGGGAACAACGGTGAAATCACATGATAGAGATGGTTGGAAGAGGACAGCAATGCAGGACCAGAGTAAAGGAAACCCGACAAAGTGCTGTAGGGTAACTTGACAAATGCAGATGAATAGTTAACTGAGAAGGAAATCTTTTGCACTGTCTGTTTCTCTGATTATATGTAGGCCATGTATAGTCATTCTAGTAGAAAAGATGAAGGTAGGATCCCGCTTTGGATTGTCCTTGGAGATGCAGTTCCGTCAGGAAGGGTGAGGGAAGGACAGAGAGGTTCCAGTTTAGGCAAGATGCTTAAAAAGTAGAGATTCCCTCCTACCTCCCATCTGAAGCAGGCTCTTTGGAAGAAGGAGCAAAAAGGCCATGGGTGTATAGGCTGATTATGGATGGAAGAGCCCGACTGTCTTTCTTGAAATACCCCTGGTATCTACATCAGGAAGAAAATGAGGTCCTCTTTTGCTTTTTGCTGAACTGTTTAAGAAGATGTCTAAATCAAGGGAACTTATCCTCGACCTTACAGAAAGAGAAGGGAGCAAGAAAAGAAGCTCTCTGCCTGTCCTCTTATGTAAGAGGAAATGTGAAGAACAGAGGATGATGGCTGCTGATCCTGAGGTGGTGTTTAGGTGACAGCGTTAGGCAGCAGAGGCAATTCTGATAGTATTCTGAGTCTTTGAGGGAATAGTTCTGTTTACCGTCTTACTAGCAGTAGGGATAGGCTACCGGAGTGAGTCTCCATGATTAGCAGCTCCAATTCAACTGGCTGATCTTGCAGAGGTCAGTAGTGCTGCCTTCCCCAGGGCGTATTCATTGTGCCAATGGGCATTACTCACCACAAGAAGTGTTAGGCAAGTTATGCACCCTGCTTCAGATAGTATTTCATGCTTATATACTGTGCCACAGAAAATGTAGGAAAAAACACAAAGTCCATGGGCAAAGGAGGGGAAGAGAAAGCAAGAAGGAGCTTTATAGCTGTGAGGTAGCTGGTTCTTTCTCCCTGAATTCATATTTTAACATCTTTGTTATGGACCTTCGATTCTCCTTCTTTTAATTCTAGTATACTGCCTTGCTATCGTGCAGGATTTTCTTGCTTTTAATGGAGTATTTTAAAAGTTAAATTTTGATGCAGTATGCAGTGCTTTCACTTGCAGTTTGGTTAGGAGTGGTAGTTTACAATGGTTGTTACCAGAAAACATGCACTGTTATTCTATCTCCTTTTCCATTAAAAAAAAAAAAAAAAAAAAAAAACTAATTCTGGTGTGTCACAGTACAACTTGTTAGAGTGAGAGTTTGCTTATTTTTTGGTTTCAAAACACATAAACTTTCCTGAAGCTGATCCTCATTGTTTTTGCCCTGTATTAGGTGGCTGTTACAGTATTCATTTTAGCAGATCAAGTGAATGACATCTGGGCTGCTGCAAATCTCTATGAAACTTCTGCACCCTACGTCTTCTCCTGTGAATTTCAAAACTTCTGTTAGAATTTTTAAAATGCAGGCAGATGAGCTTTCTGGGCTTTCGGTGTTGTTGCAAGGTCCTGCGCTGTAATAGGAGCTCTTCATAGTGTTACTCTTTCTTAGTCACGTCACTTAGTCACGTCAGTAATGCTCTGTGCAGAGAGAAGGAAAGAGATTAGGCTGTACAGAGTTCTAAGTGCTTGGGAAAACGCCTGCAGTCTCTCATGATGTACTAGTATGTACTAGTATCAAAATCAACCACAAAAAAATCATTGGAAATCTAGTCAATTCTGTATTGGCCTGCACTGTTCTCTACTTTGGTGTTGGGATTAACCTGTTCTCTTTACACACTGTACTGAAAGCAAGGAGGGAGTGCTGTGTTGGGGGAAGGCAGGAGAGAGCAGCAATGTCAATGTCAGAATAAGTTACTGCTGTGAAGATTCCTTGGCAGCAGGCAGATGTGTTGTTGGAGGACCAAGACTGTATTTTCAGGGTGCTTGGCTTCAGCAGTAAAAGCTTACGTTGCTGCTGAGATTGTTTCCATTTCTGTGAAAATTGCTGAAATTCAGGGCAAATGTAGAAGTATTTAAAGTGAAAATTTGAAGTTGCTTTTTCCTTTCTGCCTCCATTGCAAGGTGATGACTTTTTACCCTTTAGTGTGCCAGTAGTTTTATGTTCTCAGTAAAATATGTGCGTTTGGTGGAAAGAGGGGATGGAGAGCAGAGTGTGGCTATTCTTCCAGGAGTAAGCATCCCTAGCTTATTCTGCAGCTAAAAAGTTGGCCTCTTGGAGGATGATCATCCTTCAGTTAAATCCTGCCCTAAGTCCCAAGGCAGGATGAACATGGGCCCTGCTCAAGTGATGCTGAGCAGCAGTGATTCCTTGCACAATAGTGACCTTCTCAACATTTAACAAGTGAAATAACCAAAAAAGCCAAGTACAGATATGTCGTGGTGACCCAGTACCTGCAAAGGCAAGTTCTCAAAGGGCATGGTGTATTGGCTTGGGGTAGCAAGTTGCCAGTATCAATGTTGAACAGAAGTCAAAGCTGGAAACTATTACTACAATAGCATTTCAGTAAGAAGGAGTCTTTAATACCCCAGTTTTTCATTATGGGTGTTGCTTAAGAGACATGGCTAGAGTGCTGCAGACACATTTTTCTTTTTGATTTTGGTGTGAAAGGAAAAGGAATTTTTCATTCTTCTCATTTCCAAGCAAACTTTTCTGTATTTAGGAAGTTCTGTGTTCTTACTTCCTTGCTGCTGCTTTCTTAAGAGTGCTTTAAAAATAGGTAAGGCATCGCATTATCTCAGAAGTGGATGCTGCAGGCTGGTGGTCCAGCCTGATACGCACCTTAAACTGTTCCTCATGAGAGAGTAACAAAAACAAAAAAGAAATGTGAGGGCCCAAGGTCTGTCTGCATGTCATATAGGTAGTTACCTTTGAAGGTAATCAGGAAATGTCTTTTGCTAAAAATTTCCTTCAGCTTTTGTTTGAGTAGATAGTCCTATTAGGCAGTAGATACTTTTGTGTGTGTGTATGGTGTTGATGCAAAGAGTTTTTCACATAACTGCTGGCATCTCCAAATAGCTTGCTTATGGTATGAATATTCCATTATATTTTTCATTACACAGCTTAAAAATAACTTTTGTGAGGTAACAGAGGTAGATAATTTGATAGACGGAATGACTAAGCTAGAAGCCTTGTTGTTGTTTTGTTTGTTTTGTTTTTGGTTGTTGCTGTTTGTTTTTTCAATCCTTTCTTACTACCTCTGTTGGTACAAAATCACTGGAAAATGGAAGATGCTAGTGCCATGTTTTTTGAAGACTTCTTGAATGTCATGGTTTGAAAACCTGACATCAGGGTTTTGCTTTGTGTGAAATAAAATTATTGTTAGAAATCACAGAATGCTTGAGGTTGGAAGGGACCTCTAGAGATCATCTAGTCCAATCCCCTGCTCCAGCAGGGACACCCAGAGCACGTGGCACAGGGTGGCATCCAGGCAGGTTTGGAAGAACTCCGGAGAAGGAGACTCCACAACCTCTTTGGGCAGCCTGTTCCAGGACTCTCCTCACAGGAAAGAGGTTCTTCCTCATATGGAGATGTTATT